TTTCATAAAGAAAGAAACTATAACATGCAATACTATAACATGCAAGACAGAAACTATAGCATGGATCAAACACAAGACTTCCAGATCAAACACAAATACTCAGCAAGACAGCAACAACTTACATTTTAATCAAATCTAAAACTGCTCAGCAAGAATCAGTACAAAACCCAACAAAGAAACCCCAAATAGAAACAAGACAACTTCAGACACGAACAGAAAGAAATAAAGAAACAGGACAAAATTTTACCTTATCAAACTTGAATATGAATCGAATCCTAGTCCTGCGTATAAAAACACAAAAAACATTAGTAAGTATGCTATCAGACTTCAGCAATGATTTCGTAAAGGAACAAAACAAAGTAATGATCAACAGGACAACTTTCAGTAATATTTTTTACCCTAGATCTGAGCTTACCTGAGAAAAATCAGCACAGAGCTCTGTCAGTGTCAAAACTCTAGATCTGAGCTATCAGAATGAAATCGATATGAGCTTCGAACCGTCGATTTTCAGAGCACTAGAGCAGCATCTCTTCGATGAATCATTTTTTGTTTTTAAAAAAAAAGAAATCGATTTGAAAACAAAACCCTAGATCACTAGATTTGGACCGATTGGTGTTGGTGGTAGATTGGACCGATAACTAGAAGGAAATGGGAGGTGGTGAAGTGATGTGTGTGATTCTGGTGGTGGGTTTGTGGTCGGAGGACACTGGCGGCCGAGAGAAGTCAAGATCGAGAAGAAGAGAAGAGCGGCGGCTGAGAGAAATAGGGGAAAAAAAGAAAGAGGGGAAAAAAGGAGGAAACCCTAAAAGACCATATATATATGAAATACAAAAATTAATAAAATAATAATACATTAATTAAATCAGAAGTTATTCGGGTATTCGGACGGGTCCCGAATAACACCCTCTATAACTGAAAATCTACCGAGAATTTATTTCGGGTAGTCGGGTGTCGGCCGAATGTCCCGAATTCGGCCGATTGGCCGACCCGAATAACCCGAAAATGGAACGGGTCGGTCGGGTTTTCGGGTAGACCCTATTAATTAGCAGCCCTATTCGAAGGGCAGGGATTACTGATTAGTGCCATGCTCAATGAGCTGAGTAATACGGTAGTGTTTGAGCCACTACGGAATGATGAGTTTATGGGTCGATGGCAACTTTGTTGTGAAGGAAATATCACGCATATTGTTATTATGCAGAATATCACCATTGAGAAGCTGGATAATTTTTTAGATGAATTTATTGAGGGACGATCGTTATGGTACTATGAAGAGGAAAGAGTCTTTCAGCCTCCGTCTTGCAGGAGATATGGGGACTCAAAAACTGTTTATGTCCTAAAAAAATGAAGGTCATGAACTAAGGTTAAGTAATCCGTGTGTTGCATGTTCCCTCCTCATTATGCAAAAATTTTGAAAGGCTAATTCCGATCAGTTACTGTTTCCTTTCAATTTTAAAGAAGAATTAAAAGAGTCGTATGTTGCTTTTACACATACAATTTGATATGATGATTGATCCAATGATGCACCTTTCAGGGAGGCCGATATATTATACTGATTTCTAACTGTCCAAAACTCCCATTATTAAAACTTTCTCAGATTTTCACATACTATAAAACTTTGACTGGTGATTTATGGTCTTCTTTAATACCTTCTGAGATTCAAAAGGTGGTTTCTTTGTTAATCACTACTATTTCTTCATTTCAATCTTACTCACTGAGTAAGATGTCGTAGAACTACATAATTTAGTATTCAATAGAATGAGTTGTAATAATTTAGATATTTTTTTAATTAATATACAGGTACCTTCTAAAAAATAAAAAAAATAATAACTCTTGGAAATAGAATGGCTCTACATCTAAGGATTCCTTTCCAAAAGAATTTCTGAAAGGTACTTGTTGGAGGGTGCACCATCACTTGGCCCAAGAACCATTCATGAGTCCGAGAATATTCCTTGGTAGCTAATTGGGCTGGCTAAAGCCTTAACAATGGCCCCAGCCCATCATTGAAAAGGAATATTTCAGGGAATATTCTCCCTTACCTTATCTATATATACCCCATTTTTGGTGGTCGTAAGGGGTTCTTTCCAACTCACTTCTTGGCTCACATTTTACAAATTCACTCTTGACACTGACTTGCTGGTCGGAGTATTAACCCTTGTTTTGCAGGTCTCAGGTTCATAGACATCGTTGACTCTCGTCCTAACGGATTTGGCCTTCGACAGTACATTGATGTGATTAGATTACGATATCTAGTTGCTGCCATAAACCCATGTCGGAAACATGGTTTAGGGTCATATGGCTGCTCGAACTCCTCCTTGAGCTCTATGGATCAAGGCAGTCTTGAAGTAAAATAATCATCACTTGCAACAAACAAGATCAAACAATTTTTTTTTCCTCAAACAAGATCAAACCACGTGAATAGACCTAGACTTTTATCACCTGTTCTTTTATTTAGTTAAGAATGACGCTCTCCATGTGACCAAAATTGGTAGAGATCTACAATATAGAGACAGTTGAACCTGGCTGTTTATGTCCGGCGGCTAGTCACTCTCCTCACTTACTTTAATTTGTTTTAGTATAAGTAACCTGCCCTACCATTTCATAATTGTTCTGTCTCGAAATTGTAGTAAAAATATTATTTAAATTAAACAATTATTATGAGACAGAAATTGTAAGTCTGTCTATGAAGATTCGTCATTAAATATAATCATCATTAACCCTTTGCCAACCAAAGGGCTAATCAACCTTTATAAATAATAATTACTTATTTGGATGTTACCAAGTACCAACACATGATAATTGCATAGAGTCAGGTGATGAAAACGACTCATGATCGAAGGATAAATTACTTTATTGATTTTTTTAAAAAAAATTCAATTTGGCTTTTTCATTTATATTTTGAAATTAAATCTTTTTATCTAATAAATGTTCAATGAATGTTGACTATTTTTAAAGAGAGAGCGAATAGAGTATGTGTTTTAGGTAGAGGTATTAATGTCTTACTGAATATTATCAGGTTTTTCTATAATGCAGGAAATCTCACTAGAGATAAGTAAAAACACACGTAGTTGTTTGTAAATTATAGTGAGAGCTAAACTACTATAAACAATTACAAGGTGACAAATTAGGGTACAAAATCGAGAATTCATATATAAGTTTGTCGTAACACACTATTAATTGGTGTTTATGAGCAAATGTAAAGTCAATCCTCACACTTATTGCGAGGGATTGAACAAAAAATCTCATCTTAAGAGTAAAGGTGACTTTATCGCTTAATCGCCATCTTATTCGCTGGTTATGGTCAATTTGTTGACGAAAGATCTCAAACACTATACTTCTTCTCAATTTTTTACATTATTTGCTAATATTTTGACGCATGAACCCTAAACATTCATTCAATAATGATTTAGGGTGTTAGTTAAGTTTTAAAAGTATAATGTGGTAATATGTGAAGTAGTGTAAAAACTATGGTGAAGAGATCCTAAGCATAATCTGTTGGGCGATTGATAGAGTAGAAAACAAATTAACTTGGGGAAGATGAAAGCGTGACATTTTCCATGTTTAGCATATTAATAGTAAAATCAAATAACGCATCCATATGTACCGTCGGAATTTCTTATTTGATGATTGCAAATCAGAACATACAAAATTTTGACAGAGGTTCTATATTCGACGTTACTAAACTGAAGAAGGCATACAAATATTTTAATATTACATTCAACATTCTATTTGTGCGGAGGGAAGTTTATGATTTCTTATATTTGTAGGTAAGATGTAAATTAATTGCCTCATCACCACAAAAAAAAAAAAAAAAAAACAACAACATTCACTTATTTACAAGCATTTACATGTAATAGGCTACGCTACATCAGCTCTAGTTAAAACGTATTCTCCAGGCTATCTCCGTACATATTTTCTCCACAATCCTGTCCACATCTCTGAGCTTGCCTTAATGTATCATCAAGTTCTAGCTCTCCAAATCTGATAGTAGCCTGCCTCTATCATCAAGTTATAGTTTCTTGGGTGAAGATAATGTATATGAATGGGGATTTGGGGATTTGGTGCCAAAATTGGATGGCCAAAAAGAATCAAAGCTTAGACCTCCTGATAATAATCATTTTCCATTCTAATTCCTTAATCACCTCATCTAATCCTTTCACTCTCAACTTTTTTTGAGTGATTTTTCTTTTCGAGTAATAATACTCAAAATAAGTGTCCCTTTTTTTTCTCTTTTTAATGTATTAAAGTCTATTTTACCTTTTTACTGTAAGATTTGTAATAGTTGATATTCTGTAAATTCAATTGATCAAATACTCACTAAAACTACCCCTCTGTCTCAAAAATATGTCTTCTTAATGATTTTATCAAATCAATGAAACATTAAATAATGAATTTGAAATATAAAATTTATATTTATTTATTATTCATACAACTCATCACCAACCAATATAATCTTATTTAAATACTACTTTTTGTACTCTGAACTATTTTTTTTTAGATAGATGGAGTATTTCATCTTTAATGAAGGGTAATATTGAAAAAATAGGATAACTCAATTTTGCAACACGATATATATTTTAAAAATTTTTTATAAACATTAAACAATCATAGAGTCTGCTTGGATATGATTCATTGAAAGCAAAAGACATTTTTTCCCCTAATCAAGGAATCATCACAAGTCACCAAAAAAAAAAAAAAATCCTCATTGAATCCTCCATTTTTTCCAAGAAAATAATTCAAATTAACTTTTTAAATTTGTACTAATAATAATAAAAATCTGAAACTTGGACAGTGGTAGTAATAAATTAACTGGTAGCCAGCTCCTTTGTTATTATTATTATGCCATTTCCGATCGTCGTCTCTCCTCCCTTACCCATATATAACTTCCACATTTTCTTGATATCGTCATTCCTTGTTCCTTGTGCTTGTCCATCATTATTCAAAAGCTTTTCTTTTTTTTCCTTTTCCTTAATTTTTTTGGGGGCTGTTTATCATAAGATAACATGGGCGTAGTTTCAACGTCGGGGAAGAGCTTCCAAATAATGAGGCAAATGCCGAAGTTAATTCCTCCAGCAAGACCAACCCCACGTGAAATAAAGCTTTTATCTGACATTGACGATCAAAGTGGGCTGCGATGTCAAGTTCCCTTTGTAGGTTTTTACAGAAAAGAAGAGAATCACGATGGTGGTAATAACAAGGAAGATGATCCTGTAAAGATTATCAAAGCGGCTCTGGCAGAGGCATTAGTAATTTACTACCCATTTGCTGGGCGATTGATAGAAAAACCCGGAAACAAACTCGCGGTCGACTGCACAGGTGAAGGCGTGATGTTTATCGAGGCGGATGCGGACGTGACACTGGAAGACCTCGGCGAGCTTCAACCACCGTACCCCTACTTTGAGGAGATATTGTACGATGTTCCTGGCTCCAGCGGAATTCTCCATACCCCTTTGCTTCTGATACAGGTATACTACTACTTTTGATTAATTTTTTCCTTCTAAATATTCTCATCTAATTTCATAACTGTAGTCAATTCACTCAGTACAGTAAAACCTTTTTTGCTAGCCTATATTAAGATTCAAAGAGTAACCGATTCAACGAAGTTATACCACATTGTTGTTTTCTTGCCCCATCGAATTCCACTCGCTGAATTCATCGGCACTTTTCACCTGCTAGGACTCAATATAATAAGGAAAAGAAATGTTAGTAATATTAAAAAGAAAAATATGTAATCCACATTATCATACTGAAAAAGTCAATAGGGAGGTTATTTGACATTGCAGGATGGACTGCGCAGGTAACCCGTCTCCGATGCGGCGGTTTCATATTCGCCATCCGCCTGAATCACACCATGTCAGATGGTTGTGGGATCGGCCAATTCAAAAAGGCCGTCGCCGAAATTGCAAGAGGAGCCGCCGTTCCGTCTGTAACTCCGGTGTGGAGGAGGGAACTTCTGAACGCCAGAGATCCTCCCAGAATAACTTGCATCCACCCAGAATACGATGTCCCTGCCTCCTATTCAACCGCAAAAAACCCGTTCGCCACGATTAGTGACTTGGTCGATACATCCATCTTCTTTAGCCCTGCCAAAATCTCCGCCCTACGGACCTTGCTTCCGGCTGACCTCCGCCTCAAATGCTCCGATTTCGATGTCCTCACCGCCTGGATTTGGCGTTCCCGGACTCGCGCCCTCCAACCCGATCCACAAGAGGAAGTCAGGCTCATGATTTCCGTGAACTCCCGTTCCCGATCCAACCCGCCTTTGCCGGAAGGGTACTACGGTTGCGCAACCGCCTTACCGGTGGCGCTGGCCACGGCGGAAGGGCTGATCGAGAACCAACTCGAGTACGCAGTGGATCTGGTGATGAAGGCCAAATCACGAGTGACGGAGGAGTATATGAAGTCGGTGGCCGATTTGATGGTTCTGAAAGGGCGGCCAGGATTGATGGTGGCCTCCACGTTCTACATATCGGACTGGAGAAGGCTTCGGTACGACCAAATTGATTTCGGCTGGGGAAAACCGATTTACTATGGCCCGGCGAAACTTCGGCCACAGATGAAAATACTTTCCTATTACACTTGGAAAAAGAACAAGCAAGGGGAGGAAGGAATCAGTGTTTTCTTATGCTTACCAAAATTTGCCATGGAAAAGTTTACCGCAGATATTGATAGGATTGGAGGGTGAAACAACCACAATTCTGGGAAGTTGATTTTATATATATATATATATATATATATAATAGATATATATATATATATATATTTGCAGGGTGTCCATCGTCGGCAACGATGACTAATCCTCCTCGCTTAATTGTAGGCTCCTCGCTGAATTGTAGGCACCTCAATGGGTGGGAAGTTGATCTGATTTGCTTTGCTTGAACAATCCGGAAATTGTTGGTTTACGTTTTTATTGTGTGTTAATTTGTTTGTTTTTACTCCCTCCGTCCCATAATTATTGTCCACTTTGCTCAAAAAATTTTGTCCCAAAATTATTGTCCAATTTGACTTTTTATGGATCAAGGTATACATTTGTCCTTAGTAAAAAAATATTATTCATAAAATCTTAGTGGTTAAATAATTATTTATGTAGGGGTATATCCGGTTATTTAAGATAAAATATAGTTAAGTTTGACCAAAAATAAAATCTTTCATTTTAGTAAAACTGGGCAATAATTATGGGACGGAGAGAGTATTTTTTTTTTTTTTGATAATCAATTTGCTTGTTTTTATTGTTTGTTTATGTATATGCAACATTTGAAGATGATGATGTTATTCCCCTCATCGGGTTTAATGAGTGTTCGACTTGGACGCAAGCCGAAGTATAGAGAATAATAAAACAATAATTCTTCTATTCACGTGGCTAAAGTATAATGCTAATAACAATGTCATTTTTATTATGCCGTTCAACAAAATCATAAAGCAAACCACTACCTAATTTACTAAATTAAACCACTCAGAAGTTCTCACCTGTTTGCATCGTTGAGAATTGACAAGAAAAAAATATATCTTCATTTTTTTTTATGCAACCAACCAAAAAAGAATGCATGTCCTTTTCTCTCAACTGTGTATGCTCAGGTTTGGTCTTCTTACTCCCCGTAATTATGTTTTCATCTCCTTCGGCTTCATGTCCTTTTTCTGCACTCCATATTTCATTTCGCAACACCAAGTTGGTTTTACTTGCGGATATTTCTCAATTTGTCAAGTTCTCTTGTGCAGAGTTTGATTGTAGTTTTAAAGTTTACAACTGCATCGAGACATCACTTTAGAATACAAAATATGCAGCATGTTATTTTTAAATGAAAGCAATACATGTTCAATAACTGTATACATCAGCAGTAACCATAGCGGCATTTATAACTTCATTCAAATAAAGAATGTAACTATACTGAATTCATAAGCAGTGAGTTTGTACTCAGAAACTTACATTTTCTTTTCATTTTTGGTTTAAAAGCTTCCTGCTGCAATCAATAAAAGTAGAAGTGTTTCATAAAGTGCAAGATTAAAATTTGACAGATACACCAAAAAAAAAAAAAAAATACATATGAAAGAAATCAAGGGATGGAATCAAAGGAAACAACACATTATGAACCAAAGAACAAAGATGGAGAAAAGAAACTTTATTAATGGGATCTGAAATTTAACAACTAAAGGGAATTCACAAAGAATTGAAATTGTTCTAAGCGTATCAAACATTATCCTTAAGACAATATTTGCCCCCACTAGATTGCAAACATGGTTGATTGCCAATTTGCATCTAGGACTTAAGAACACAAGAACATGCAATTTGCAATTTATTGAATGTTCTTCGGGATTTTGGAATGCAAAAGTTAAAATGAATTCATGCACTTGTTCACCTATTTATAGGCAACAGTTGCAGAAATAAAAGGATACAAATTAAGTACACAACCCTTTGCGTGTAGGAAATAACCACCATACCTGTGAAGGGTTGTCAACTTAACTATTATCCTTAAATTCTAAATTAATTATTTTATTTAACAAACTAAAATTTCCAACAACATATCATACACCAAAAGTACATTTAAGAAAGAGTAAAAGAGTTTATTAGACTGTCTCGAATCAATTGCAGGCAAATAATTAGGAGCACCTAGGTACACCTAGAAGGGTGTACCTAGTGGACAAGTGTAATACACTCTTCTTGTATGCAAGTGGATTTTCTTTTCCCCCAAATGTCAACCAGACGCGCATTTAAAACTCCAGATTTTATCCCTTTTTTCACACACATTTAATTTCAAACCATTTTTCTTATCTTATCCTGTTAGTTTTTATATTATTTTATTTTATGAGAAATCTTTTTTATGACCATTTATTTTATTAGGATATCATTTTAGTATTGTGCAAGCCAACTAAATAAGATATTCCACTCTATTTAAATCTTGATTAATAAGGATCCTATTCTAGATGAATAACGATCCCATTCTAGATGAATAACAATACTAAAATGAAGCATATATGTAGTTTTGATAGATGAATAATTGTACTTTAATGAATGAATGAGATAACATTATTGGATGAGTAATGCGTAACATAATGAATAAATTTGATCAATAAAACTAACAAGAGTATATTTTACAATGAGTTAATGTGAGCAACTAAACTAACAAACTTCTAATTATGTATTATACTAGACCAAAACTGAACAAAAAAAAAAAAAACTAGTCATTGATTTTAACATATAAGGTCTTGAAGGAATCGCCGATACTCGATATGTCTATGTTGATTGTTTGATTTCAGCAACTCTGCCAAATATTTGATTCCCAACCGATCGAGTTCATTTTGATGAACATTTCTCTGACACTGATCGAACAAGGAAAACATTATAATAAGTGAGATTTTACATTCCATCAAAACTCTATTCTGACTAAAATATTGATTAATTGATAATGGATGAATACGAAAATTAGCTCAATGATACTGATGAATCACCATACAATCAATGATACTGATGAATGAGCTCACTTATACTCAATGGATGAATACATGAATGAACTAACTGATACTGATGAATAAAGGTTCCTTTGAAAACAGAAGAATAACTATACACAACATGATGAATAACCATATACAATAGATGAATAAACCATACACAACGGATGAATAACCAAATTGATGAACAACAACAACATTAAATCCAAGAATTATAAAATCCAGATTTCCAACCAACACCAACATGATGAATAACCATACAAAACGGATGAATAATCCTACACAAACAGATCTGAATACATAAACCTCTGACGATAAATCTTTTTCACATCAAATTTGAATTCATAAATCTTTTGGCAATTCATCAAATCTGAATTTTTTTTTCACAAAAGATCTGAATCCATAAACCTCTGACGATTCATCAAGGTTTGGTTATATGAATGAGCTAATTGATACTGATGAATAATTATTCTTTTTACAACAGAAGAAACAAATTGATGAACAACAACATTAAAACTAAGGATTATAAAACCCAGATTTCCAACCAACAACAATATGATGAATAACCATACACAACGGATGAATAACTAAATTGATGAACAACAACAACATTAAATCCCAGAATTATGAAACCCAGATTTCCAACCAACAACAACATGATGAATAATCATACAGAACGAATGAATAAGCATACACAAGCGGATCTGAATCCATAAACCTCTGATGATAAATCTTTTTCACAGCAGATCTGAATTCATAAATCTTTTGGCAATTCACCAAATCTGAATTTATTTTTTTCGCAGAAGATCTGAATCCATAAATCTCTGACGATTCATCAAGGTTATATGAATGAGCTAAGTATCTCATCAAGGTTATATGAATGAGCTAACTGATACTGATAAATAATGGTTCCTTTTACAACAGAAGAAACAAATTGATGAACAACAACAACATTAAAACTCAGGATTATAAAACCCAGATTTCCAACCAACAACAACATCATGAATAACCATACACAGCAGATGAATGACTATACACAACGGATGAACAACCAAATTGATGAACAACAACAACATTAAATCCCAGAATTATAAAATCCAGATGTCCAACCAACAACAACATGATGAATAATCATACACAACGGATGAATAACCATACAGAACGGATGAATAACCATACACTAAAGGATCTGAATCCATAAACTTCTGACGATAAATCTTTTTCACAACAAATCTGAATTCATAAATCTTTTGGCAATTCACCAAATTGGAATTTTTTTTCCCACAGAAGATCTGAATCCATAAACCTTTGACAATTCATCAAGGAAGATCTGAAACAAACCCACAAATAGAAACCCACAAATAGAAATCCACAGATTCATCAAAAAAGATCTTAAACAAATCCATAAAGAGAAACTCACAAAAACAGATGAATAAGATGATTTATTACTGTAATCCTCACTCTAATTTATATTTACTCGATTATAAAATCTAGATTTTTGATACACAAAGTAGATTCCGAGAGCGCAGCCGCCGAGAGAATTTCGTTCTTGCTTGAGCAGTTATAAAAGCAGAAAAATGAGAAAAAAAATTAGGGTAATTGAGTATTTATATTTTTTGTTATGAAGATTTGAAAATTAAAAAATCCAAAAAAAGGGCTATTATTGGGGGTGTTTTGGAGCGTGAAAGACACGGTAGGTACACCTTTCTAGGCATTCCTAGGTGCTCCTTATTATAACTGATCAATTGCATGTTTAATCTTTTCGGTGATAAATATCAACATATATGGAAAAGAGAATAATAAAGCTATTTTAATTTCTTCTCGAAGAATGCATTTTCTCCCTTATAACATTTCCAAATGCACAAGTCAAAAGAACACTAAAGTATAGCTTTTGTACATGGTTTTGCATATACAGTAGAACATCAGTAAATTAATAATCGATAAATTAATAATTTCTAGTAATTAATAATTTTCTCTGGTCCTAACTTGGGACCAGTACAAAAAGTGACAAAAATTGATAAAATGATAAGATAATAATATTTTAAAAAATTTTCTATATATCGATAGGTCCCAATAATACTGTAAATTAATAAATGCCTTAAATGTCAAAAAAAAATACTAATATCTAGGAAGATTTACTAGATATGAGCTTATTGATACTTTTTTTTCTTGAAATTTAAATCCAATGAAATTTCATCCTTGTCTCATTACCCTTGAGAGCTCTGGTGTTGTATTCTCAAA